AATTTTCATATAAGACAACGGTACAATCATAAAGAACACTGACAGACTGCAATCGAACTTCTACTTGTTGGTCTTTAGTTAATGATATAAGTACTTTCATTATATTTTCAGTAAGCTTTAGGCAACTTACACCAATTACAAGCAACTATTTAAAAAGTAGTTCATTATTAAATATTTGATGCAAAAATAAATTTAATACTAAAATAATACCTTTGCAATATTCTTGATGAGAATTGAGCGCACTTCACATGAAGGGTCATTTATTGAATTCAATACAATAGGAAGGATTATCTGTTTAGTGTAAGAGACATCAAATTTTTTTGAAATTGTTATTGCTATTGATAAAGCCACAGTTCTAACATGCTCCTAATAACAGAAATATGTTAATTTAAATGTACAGAAATTTGATGAAATAACCTACATTTTGGTCAAAACTAAATTGTTCCAAACGTGGAGTTAATTTACTGTCAAAAATTGATATATGAACAACTTCGCTGAAATCAACCAAGTTATTTGCTGCATTTTGACGAACAGAAGGTAACGCGTCCAAACTTAAGAAACAATGATAGTCCATTAAGTCACCTTAGTAAAACAATTTTAATATAAAAAAAAATCACATTAACTTAATATTAAATTAAATAAATTTACTTTGATATTTTGGACTGACACGCATATACACCGTAGTGAAAAGATGACTAACAGAACAACGTTTAGTACATTTATCATTCATCGTCAAATTAGCAATAAAAGGTATAAAATAGTTTTCTAAATCGATTACTTCCATAATATCAGCCAATGTTTGCAATGATTTGATGGCTGCCATTCTTACTTCACCAAGCTTAGCACCAGCCAATTCTTCTAAGGGTAACTAAAAATTGTATAAAATTATTAGCCAAATCCATAAAAAAAAATTAAAAAAATTTTATTTGGTTTAGTTTTCATTAAATATGGTAGGTAGATAATAAACCAAAGAACTACAATTTTCGTAAACTAAATAGACACCTACAGAAAAGAACCAAATGCAGTATGCAAATAAATATGAGATGATGTAGAATATGTCTCATTCTGCCAGGCGTCGGATGCAGGGAGAATATTGAAAATATTGGTTATAATGGCGCTATGAGAATGAGACATGTCTCGTCCTTCATATTTTTAACTTTTAACATTTTAAGTAACAAATCGTTATTAACTTAGTAGGTAATTAGTTACCTATATCATTGATTTATATAATATAGTATAATATTATAAAATCAATGCCTATATAGGTACCTACCGATGTCATGTCATCGACCACTGAAAACTCGTTATCGTGGTTGGTTTTAAATGTACGATTTGTATATTTATGGTGAGATATATTGTCTAAAAATGAGTATCAATGGGCAATATTGCGTTATGCGTGATTTATATTTTTTTTCAACATCTACTTGACCTAAAGACTTACGCCTCGGCCTTGCCACCGGAAAACGGCAATTTTTTTTTATATGTTGTACACTCAGTCTTGCAAAGTGTTCGAATATAAGTATTTAATATTTATATGGTATTCTAAATACAATTTTTTAAGTATTTTGAACACTTTTTAAAAGTATTTAAAAAAAAAATTAAATACTTGTATTAAAATAGGTACTAAAAAGACCGTTTTATTAATTTTATATGGTTTCTGTATTGGAATTTTTTAAGAAAACTGAAATTCTAATAATTTTAAAATAGTTCTATATTAATTATAATTAATACCACTTTTTATTATTTTCATTAAAATTTAATCAATATTAGTTGTAATATATCTGATTTCAGAATGAAATACGTGAACATATATTTATCTCTAAATAGTCAGACCAGTGGCGTATATACAAATACAAAATACTTTTACTATGGGCCAATTTGGTCAATATATACATATTTTAGGGAGCTGGGTGGTTATAATTACGACATATACAATATAAAATACAAATTGAGCAATTTCAATTTATAATTATGTAAAATTAATTTTTTAATTATTTTTTAAAAAATATTGACAATTTAATATATATATATATTTTTTATGTTATCTAACTGTGAATTTAACATCAAAGTCTTCAAAGCAAGTCCTGACAATCATTTCCGTGTGGATTTCTCAAACACGATTTTAATCAACCGGCTAAATTAATCATAATGAAAAACTGTAAGCAGTGTAGAATGTAGATATACATGAAATACTTTAATTGAACCTGGAATTTCAGTATGGGCCCGGGCCTAGGGGGCCTCCCCCCTATATACGCCACTGAGTCAGACATGTTATAGTGATTAATAATTGTTCAAATATATGGTAAGTAGTAACATAATAGGTAAAAAAAATTTTAAAAAATACTTGTATTTGTATTCAAATACTTTGTGAGTGTTCGTAAAATATATTTTTATAATAGTATTTTAAAAGTATTTTTAATACTTTTTATTCGAATACTAGCATTATAGTATCATAATACTTTTTCAAAAGTATTTTTTACGAGACTGTGTACACTTGTCACTTGTACTAGTTGTAACTTGTACTTACATAATGGATGCCTACATATTATTATCTTACCAGCAAAATGTGAGCATATTTAGGTCCTCCCACAAAATATTCAAATTCGCCAAGAACTTCTGCTAAATCCTTCAATTCCGATAATTTTTCAGCAATAATAAGATGAGTAAGGTATGGTACTAAGCGTTTACGAGTATTTTCTGCGCCGAGTTTTAAAGCGACATCCCGCAAGAAATTCATCGATTCCAAACGATTCTATTGATTAATATAACAACATAATTCGTTGTTAGTAAATTTAATTCAAATTAAAATATCATGAAAAAATTTGATGAGGGATCGCTGTACAAAAAATATAATTACCTATATAATACATTAATAAAATAATACCTGTAGTAAATAAATAAATAATAGTACACGGTGTACCTAAATATTATATTCAATAGGTAGGAAACATAATACGAACTATGTTTCTGAATAAACATTATATTTAAGTAGCTATATGTACTAGGCACCCTTGGTATTTAAGAATAAAGATTTTTACCCTGTGATTTCGTGGGGTATATTTAAATACAGTGTCGTACTTGTAAGACATTTTTGGGAGGATGTCCTTTTCGGCTTTCCCACTGCTTAAATAGGTAGGTACTAAGTAATAAGTACCTAGGTCCTAAGTAGGGGTAATAGGTATATATTTACTCCGAATCTGAGGTGGAACTATTTTGCACATGGTGTTGGCAAAACCATTATACATAGAAATATAGACAGGTAGGCCTATATAAAAATTAATTGAATTATAAAAAAGTAAAGTAAAATAATTAATAAAAGCAACAAATATTTCAACTGGGGGACGAGGTGACCGAGCGGTCTAACGCGTCGGCTGCGGCGCTGGCAGTCGCGGGTTCGATTCTCGACCACCGGGCGGCCTTTTTCTCCGGGCAAGTCACGGTGTCCGGAAAACAAGTGCCGCCATCCCCCTTTCCGGGGCATGGCAGAAACCTACGGGTGCCCCATTCGAAATTCTGCCAAAAATACACCCACTTGTAACACACCTACCGTTCCAAAAAACCTACAGTACCAACCCCCCTCCCAATGGCCTAAGTTGCCGAGGGATAATTAATAAAAATAAAAATACTTCAACTTTGAAAAAAAAATTAAACGACATAGAAATTATGATAATGAGTGTAGCAGAATTGTAATAGAAATCGACTGTTTTTTGAAACCAAATATCTGCAGTTATACCTACCGATGTTATAAAATTATCAAAAAACTTTATTTGTTTGAAATTTTTACAATAAATAATTTTATTGGTGAGGAAAATAATAATTAATATTAATATAAATACCTATTTGTTTTTGTTATTATTTTTTTTTTTTTTTGGTGATTAAAAAGTGTCAAGTAGTAGGTATAAGTGTATAACCGTCAAAATCATGTTTCTTCAACAGATGGAAACTTACCACAAGGCAATCACAGTTCATGGTAGCTTCGATAAATGAGCGATCGCTCCTACCATCGTTTAACACCAAATGGTTGTCACCACGGTAAGTTTCGGGCGTTGCTTGTTCAATTCGTTCAGCCATACTATACACTCTTCCCAGTAGACAAATCTGGATACTTAGAATAGCAAACGGGTTACCTATTTTTACTTTTATTTTAAAATATCAATATTAGAAATGTAATATGTGATTCAGTAATCGTAATAGAACAAAGTAAAATAAAACAATATCGACGATGTACTCGTCTACCGCAGGGCTTTAAAACGAATATTATTTATCAACGGTTGTGTGCAGGTGACTGAATACCTAGGTACAAATGTCAAATTGAAAATGCAAAACGGCAGTTCCGTACTTTCGTATCGAAATGTCATTCATAATTCATCGAAGTCGACGTGCAGTCATCGTTGTTCAAGGGCGATTTCTACCATGGATGTTTTTTAAAATTAAAAGCCATCAAAGACGTATCATAAAAATACAACAAATTACGCCTCCAGTAGGAGTATCACCAAAGCGGTAATGAGGCACTAAAATACAAAATTTGGAATTCCTGCACGGTCACCTGGTGACTAATAACTAGTGTAATACGCAGGGCTGTCCCAAAGGGTGGTTTTAGGGGGTGTCCCACCCCCCTGAGCGTATAATATGTATATGTCAGTTGGCACATTGATACCTACATTAGGTATTTGAGTCGGGCAGTTGGCACTCGGCAAATTATAATTGTTTTTTAGTTTTTTAATAATTTTGTATATACTACTAAGTCCAAATATATCATAATAATATATTGTAATTTATAATAATATGAAGGTATTATAAGTTAATTTTCCGATTGCCAACTGTCCAACACAGTTATACTATTATAATATTTTAGACTTTACCTATCAATGTATCATATATAATATTATAACAGTATACAAATTTGCCTATACATATTCGAATAATCACAGAATATATGAAATTTCATAATATATTATATTCTGTCGTATAATCATTGAATTATTTTTAATAAATCTGTAATGATAACTGATAAGGATTTGTGCGCTGATTTTAAAAACCATCATCGTAAAAGAATAGCTCCTAAACGATATGATTATAATGCCACAACCCAAGCTGAATTCACAATGCATCTATTTTATAGAAAAGAATTTAAAATGGTTCTAGATACCCTATTAAAACTAACAAATGATAATTTAAAATCATGTATTTCTTCTATTCAACCATTATTTACATTATTTACTCAACCATTTAATAAAAGCAATATTTCATTTCTTTGTTCCCACCAAGCAGTGTAGGTGCTTACCTTCTAGATTATGATTTAGTTCAAACAGAATTAGAAATATTATTTAGTATGTTACAAGAAGATAGAACATTACCATTTAATTCTTTAATGGAAAAAGCAGAAGTAAAGCATATTTTACCATGTGCTAATCAAATTTGTCGTTTAGCATTGATTTCTCTTGTAACAGTCGCATCAAACGAAAGATCTTTTAGTAAACTAAAATTGATTAAAACACATCTTAGGTCAACAATTACTGATGAGAGATTAAACTCTTTAATTGTATTGGGAGTATAAAAAGATATTGTTGACCTATTGGATATAAATAAAATAGCACATCAATGGTCAATTTTAAAAACCTACGTATATAAATTTAGTGTTAAGTTTATTATAATATTTTTTTGTTGATATAATAAAAGAACATAGTAAGAAGTAAGAACATAATAAAATATTTAATATTGTGTAACATTTGTCTACTGACTACTATGCATGTAGTCTGCAGGTAGGAGGTAATTGTGGAGCGAAGCGAGAAAATTTTTTTTTTGAGTTGGCAAATTATGAATCAAGCCACCCCCCCCCCCTATGATTTGTCTTTCGGGGCGGCCCTGGTAATAGGTATACCTGTGATGTCTTGGTCTAATATTTTGTTATTGAAAGGAGAATTTACTTCCACAAAATAAATAATGACTGTGCTGATGGTTTTCATTATTTTTCAATTAGGTACATTAGAGGAAACTCATTTGAAATTACCTCTTAACTCTTTATTATATTATTTTAATATTATGGCAAATACTTAATTTTAAAGTCACAACTCACAATTGTTTATAATTTTTAAAATGCATGTTTATTAGACCTCGTTTTAATTTTCATAAATATTATCGAGTAAAATAATTAATAACTTATAGGACAGTAGTCGTCTATAGATGAAAATAGGGAGAGCTAAAAGTTAGTAGTTTTAATTTATATAGTCTAAGTACCTACTTACCTACTTGAAAACGTGGGGGACTTCGTCTCCTCCCAACACCCTACTATAACGTCTATCATCTACAAACACTGATATAGTTTATATCGTAACACTCGTCACGAACAGACATAAATACATAATAATAAAATTTCGTTAAATAATTACAAACAAATATTTTTATAATTAAATAAAGTCGTATTTATTTATACATTGATATTTTATATTATTTAAAATAATTGATTAGAACCTATAGTGTTAAGAATTGCACATAGGTAACAATAAATATTGTACTTGTATTAGTTGCAGATGCTTAACAGGATTTTAAGTGGTATTGTCACTTGTAATTTGTAATGATGTATATAAATTTATATGAACACTGAACAGTTTTAGATAACAATATACATAACATCCATTACTAGTGGAGTACACAGATATTTTTATTGGGAGTGGTTATATAACAAATATATTTGTATGTAGGTATATTATACATCAAATTATTTTTTTACTTTTGTTTCATACAAATACACATAATATAGTAAAAAAATACTAAGTGGGCGGTTTGAATGCCCCACCCCCGGCTCCCATCAGCATGTACTCCACTGTACATTATTTTAATTCCTAAGTAATTTTTACAGATATGTACCTTATATACTAACAATACAATAGTTTTTCTATAAAACTTTTAACTTATAATATAACTTATTATTATTAACTATCAAAAATCAATAGATATACGTACTATAGGTAATCAATAATCACAAAAAATATTTGGCGAAGTGCCGAGGTTTACATAATAATTGTTGGCTTATTTCCTACCCTGCATCATACTTATTGATGGCATCATATTATGCAGACATCCATTTAAATGTTAGTGAGGGCAGTATATTTTAAACTTAAATGCATTAGGAATCTCACAAAATTATGAAGAATAGATGTTTAGTGAGCAGTCAAAAAAGGTTTTTATTTAGAACACTAATGATTTCAGTACTATTTTCAAAATATTTGACTTATTTTTAAGGAATTATCAACCGATTTTTCTTGAATTGAAAAACTAGTTTTTTTTTAGATTCAAAAGATGTCAAAATCTGGTTTGATTTCTTTTAACCCCACATATCAAATTATTATTTTCACTTTTTCCTCTAATAATAATAAGTCTGTTAATTGTATTAAACTAATTAAGAATTGGCCATCGAAAATACATGTATATAAATTCGGACGATTAAACTCCAGTTAACCTTAACCGTGATTAACTGTGTTGTTGAAATGGGCCCTTTACAGTGAATCCAGATTCCAGGTTTATAATTTCAAAGTTGATTAATCATTTCTTAGATGATTAAATTAAATAATACTAAAAATAGATTAATATGCTAAACATAGAATATATGATTAAATAATTTGCACTTTGCAAGACAAAATATAGTAAATACTAATTACACATATCATAACTCATAAGATTTATAAATAGTCACATATTTACATTATACACCGGGAACTAAATACATTCTTATAGGAAGATAACATTTGACATACAATTTCATAAATAATTTCATATCGTCCATTACACTGAATGAGATTTCAACCTAACAAGATAAGTTTTTAATACTATATACATTATCATAAAATTACTTTAGAAAGTTGTTTTATTATTTCTCCTTTATAATTTTATTTTAAATTTAGTTTTATCCATAAAATGTATACCTTTAGTTTTAACTCATTAAAATTTCTTGGGCAAATAGTAAAATCTTAAATCAAAATATTGAAGGGTATTTTCTTACGCTTCATTGCACTCTCCCCAATCTACAAACTTTCGACAATACTCTAAACAATCTAAATTAAAATATCCATCTCGCTCAGCGGCCGTGTACGTGGAAGAGGTTATAATACAACCATTTTCATGGGCATAGATGAGACATGCTAAGTGGCCATTAGCTGCAGCTTTGGAGCACACATTTATTCCCCATTCACATCCAATTTTACAGCAATATTTTAAACATGCTAAGTTCCCATATTTTGCAGGAGTGGCACATGTTAATCTTCCTATCTGGCATCCTAATCCATATAAGTATTTCATACAGTCCAAACTTCCACCTATTGCAGCCTTTTCCAAAATATTTAAACCCAGCGGACATCCGTGTTTTTGTGCATATACTAGACACTTAAAATGTCCTCCAAGAGCAGCATTATTAGTTGTTTCTTCATTCCATATACATCTATTTCGGTGTGCATATTTTAAACTTTTCAAATGTCCACCTCTTGCTGCTGCAGCACATGTTTTCACGGTTAAGATACATCCATTCAAGTGTGCATATATTAAACAATCCAAGTAGCCACCAGCCGCAGCTTTGGTGCATGTCTTTATTCCCCAATGACATCCAATTTCATGAGCAAATTTTAAACATTTTAAAAAACCACCTTCCGCAGCGGCAGAACATGCTAAATTGGTCAATTTACATCCAGTTTTATATAAGTACTCCATACATTCTAAGTGTCCACCTTTGGCAGAGTATTTTAAAATGGTATCACCATATGGACATCCATGCTCAAACGCATATTCTAAACAGTCAAGATGTCCATTTTTTGCAGCGTTCTTGGATGTCCTAGTGGTCCACTTAAATCCATTTTCATGGGCAAATCTTAAACAGTCCATATGCCCAACTCTGGCAGCTTCAAAACATGCAACCTTAAAATTTTCACGATATGCATAGATACATTCTGCATGATTTGGACCATATGGCAAATCAATATCTCTTTTAATGGCATACAATATTTTGCGACAACAGTTCTGAATGTCCACTTCCGGCGCGTTTCTAATTCTGTTGTACTCTTTTTTCTGAATGTCAATACAAGCATTATATGCCATTTTACTTAATGTAAATACAGTGCGCTTATCACAACCATTAGAAAAACATACAAGGTCCTAGAAAAACAAAGACAGAGCGTTACATCGATAAAATTTTTTAAAATTATAATATACAAACAGTTATATTTACTTTAGGGTTTTTACGACGCATACACTGACATGTACTGTGGATATCCATTTTTAAATTTCTTTTTATTTCCAGTAGTATCCTGTAAAAATATAAAGCAGAATCTATGTTCATGAAATGGCAAAATATCAAATATTTAGAGTGTACCTATGTTTGTGGAAAAAATTATATTGGCACCAGGCGCCTTAATATAAATTTTAAAACAGTATCAATAAACATTTATACTTTTACAATTGGTAATATGATCATAGTAAATTTTTAAAACTATCGAAAAAGCAAAATATAAAATATGACACTGCAGGAAACAAATTTACTGTCAGACTGAATAATTTGACAGCCAACACGTCCAAGGTAGATTGAACTTATTTGAGTCAGTCACAATTAAAAACAGTATTTAGTCATTTTCTACTGCAAATACATGACTAAGATTAAGAATTTTAGATAAACTTATTATCCAAATTTAGAATTAAAATGTATTATCTTATCACTTATGGAATATTCACCAATTTTTTAATGCAATATTTGGAGAACTATAGGTATATATAGTACCTATAATAGCTTTTTATTATGTGTGAATAATAATATGCATAGGTACATTATTATTTAAATAATAATAAAACATATATATTATATAATTGTATGTTTTAAATGTATAACCATTAGTGCAAATAGACATTTGAACAAGGGGGTGCTTAAGCTCAGAGGTGGATGGGCCTATTGGGAAATCGGGGTCCTTGTGCGGGACGTGGGCTGTTTTATATGATAACAATAAAAAAATATTTTTTTATTAAATTCACATAGAAATATTATTACGGTATTTTGAGATCATAAGTGAATATGTAAATAAATACATGTAAATTAATAAAATATATTAATGCAATAATAGGCATATTACAAATGCGTTGGCAGAAAAAAACATTTTGAAATCATAATATAGTGTAATACCTATAAGATAGCCTATGCCCTATATATATTGTAATTATAGCCAATAAGTAATAGGTAATTAAGGCTGGTAAAAGCGAACCATTTTTATGGGGTTGGATTTAGGAAATATTCTATTTCCATTTATCCATTGTGAGTTATGTGTGACTGTGTGTACAGTGAGTAGCGACTGATCATTAATGTGCTTATAAGGTCCCCCCACACTTTATGCTAAGATTCTTGGAAATCCATCAGATACCTATATACGCGCAGACACACTTTACTATATTTTGAGATCAAAAAAATTTCAACATATGAGTCCCAAAAATCGGTAGAAAAATTCTGATTTTAATTATGAAAACACATGTTAATTCCATATTCTCTTCTCTAAGTTATGTAGGAAACGGATTTTTGAATTTTTGTATTGTTTAATTAGTATAGACCATACTCGTATAGTAGGTACCAAATGAATTTTCTTTTTTTTTCAAAATTCACCTTTACTTTAGTGATAATAAAAAAAAAAAATTAAAAATTAATTTCCTGCATAACCTAGAAAAAAGAATAAAGAGTTCAAATATTTTTTTCAAAATTAAAATGGAAGTATAATTTTTTTTCTTCAGCTTATAAGTTTAAATTCACAAAAAAAACGACCCACTTCCAACAGCCTTAATGAATGTGATCTGTGTATTAAATTGTGTTATTATACAGTAAAGACATTAAACAATATTATAGAATATAGTCATATTAAGACAAGAAACATAATAAAATATATTTCCATAAAAGGTTTGGAAAATGTAATTAACTTTTAACTACTATACAAAATGTTTTTATATTTATAGTGGTTACAAAATATTTAAGTATATTTTCTGTAAATATTGAAAAATGTATGATGTTTAAAATTCATGTTAAAATTCGGAACAGCTTAACCTTATCTGACTAACCCAAGACCATTATAGTTATTAAATATTTAACTAATTTAGAGAGACCAAACAATTGTTGAAATTGTAAATTAAGGAACACCTTATTGTATGCGTTAAAAGACAAAAAAGTTCTGTTTTTGCGAGGGTAATCAGGGGCAGATCTAGAGGAGGAGGGGGGGTTCAGGTCAGCTGACCCACAGTTAATATTTGCTGATCGAATTGGCCTCTTTTCAGATCTTGAGTAGTTGGACACTTGGACCCTCGAATAAACACATATAAAGTAAATTAATTTTTTTTTGTTTATATAGGTACCTAGTACACAAGTACTTATAGATTTCTTATCTGGTTTTAATAAGTGGCCCCTTAAAATGTCCTGATCCACAGTTTCCTAACTCTGGATCCGCCACTGGGGGTAATAATAGTTAAATTTGAGGTTCAAGGGCCGGTTTGATGCATATTTCCAGGGCCGAAAAAAATCTCCAATCTGCCAATGCTAACCTCCAGATTTTTTTGTGACTCAACAGGACCTAACACCATTATTTGCCTATATTAACCACTAAAATAAGACAAATTAAAATTCTACTAAATTAAAATCAACACATCCAATTCAACAATAAAAATAACAAAAATTTTATATTATAAAAATTACTATTGTGTTATGTAATTCGATAAATTATCACATTTTTTCAAATTTTTAAACGGTTTTTAGAGTGTGCTAATTTTGATTTAGAGGGTGCTAAGGACCCAAACCACCACCCCTAGTTGCGCCAATGATCATCTTTCAACAAAGTAGGTTGATGATATACATTGATGCAGCTGAGAAAAACCAAAACTAATGGTTTACCAATATTAGCAATTTAAGTATTTAACATATTATAATATCGTTGTGGGTTTTTTCATGGTGGAGGAGTTGAGGTATTCTAACATCGGCAGTAAAAAAACTTACCAACTTAGTACGAACCAAGAGGCAAGCACTAATCAGTGGAGAGGCAATGGGTCCGCGAACCACACCAATTTAAGTGTAGACTAAAGCAGACTAGTTAAGTGTATGGCGTCTGGGCTATAGTGGTCTTGAGAGTTGCGACGAACTGAAACCCGATTTATTGATATCACGTTATAATGACATAGTAGTAAATATTTGAGCCACGAACCGAACGAAAAGTCAGAGCGACGATCTAAATGCGAGTAATTGTTTTACTATTATTACAAGTATCGGGCACAAAATCTCAAAAGGCAAAGATCGATAGAAATACATTAATTGGAAAATCATAGGTACAAATTCAACTGCAAGTCACAAGATCAGAAGAGCATAGCTCGACGGCGGAAGACGCTCAGCAAGTCAGAATGTACTATGTAGGAACGAGAACGCTCGTCCCGCACAACCACGATTTAAGATTACTATAGTTCGTAGTTCGTGCTTAAATAAATTGTGCCTCGTGCTTACAATCACAACACTCGTCAGTAAATAAAGACGCCAAAGAACGGACAAAAAAAAATTAGTATTAGGTTTTGGTATCAATCATAGAACGATAGTATAATCACAGAACAAGATAATGGCTGATAACCATTTATATATATATATATTATTGATGGTGATAAATGGTGATAAAGATAATAATCATTTAAATCGTGGTTCGCGGTGATAGTGAGAGGCCGCACTTCGCGGGACGACGTTCGCCATGGCCAAGTATATCGTGCAAATAATAATCATCGGCTCTCAAATAGTCGGCAAGGCACTGACCAAAGCTCTCAAACAGGAGTACGCCGCTAGCCAGGAGGCCGCTCGCAGGGCTGGTAGAGGACGTGCCGGCGCAGCGCACGCCGCGGCCAATGCCAAGGCCGGCATCACGTTGGAGGAGGCCAAACAGATATTGAACGTCCAAGGTACGTGCCTTAGTTTTCGACCCTTTGCCCTTTGGTTCGTCGTGTAACACAAGTCCGGTATTTACCATAGCTCGAGAAACGGTCGACTGATCACAGCGATACAATCCTTGTTTCACTTGTGCTGTTGTTTTTGGTCGTTCAAATGTTTGCCTCCTGCCAATTTGTTCGTCAGGGACAGTTCCCAAAACTAATTGCTTAAACTCAATGGAATACATGACGAGGGGCTGTTGTCAGTTAGGTTAACAGTGTGCTCATTCGGCACCTTAAAAATAGTGTGACATTTTACAGTAGGTACCTATATTTTACCGAAAAATCCAATCTTCATGTTGGTTCATTATTTCACATTTCACACTTTATTACTTAAAATCCACTGTAATCTAGATATCAATGATTTTACATCATCTAAAGCAAAAAAAAAAACCACTAACTTATCATGAAAATTCTGTATGGAAAGCAACAACGCATATCCCAAACGATATGCTAAAAAAATAAAAATAAACATTATCTCATCTATAGGTACGTCACCCAGACAATCTTCTAGCAAATTCTAACTTGAACAAAACAAATCTGTTCCGATCCGATCTTGAAAATAGATTTACAACTCATTTAAATATACTATATATAAGTAAGCACTCTCTCATTTTAAAACTACCTGGCTTATTAAATACTCTTTCAATGTTTCGTCCTATACAACATAGATTAACACGCTTCGATATTCAATCTTATATTATCAACAATTTACAAAATAACAAATTTTCTGGACTCAATCACTCAATCGTCAATTTCCAACATTCACCTTAAAATCTATTATTCTTGTTAACATTTATTGCACAATATTGTATGATTATGAAATGTTGTGTCACATGTTTTGTTTTGCTTGGTCAACGCCACTCATCCCACCCACTTGGAAACACTCAATCATAATATTCGTCCAAGAGTATGGTAAACCTTCAGATTTTCCCTTTTTCATGTTATACACTAATAAACCTACCACCTCTTTCTAAAATTCTCCTTAAATACTTATAAAAATAATTTATGTAAGTATTGTTGGTAAAAACTTCTTCTCTCACACTCGATTTGGATAAACATTATTCACGTCCCTAAAGTAAATAGACTAAACAACAATATCACCTCATACACCAAACAATAAAAAAATTTGCTCAGCTGTCTTTCTTGGCAGGCATTTGATCATGTTTGGCAAGGAAGGTTTTTATACAAACTTCTCTTCCTATCTATCTACATCATATTTCACCTTTCTGTACAAGTGATACATACTTACTATTATTTGAGGCGCATAAAACCACAACAGCTTAACCCCTCAAAAGTGTAATTGTTTAGGACGGGCATTTAAAGTTTTGAAATTATATTGTTAGGTTAGCCGCCCAAAAAATGATGTACTGCTTTTTAGCAGAATAATTTTTTTTAAGGTTGGGCCAGTTTGGCTCTGGTATAAAATATAATTCTATATCATATTTTCAAATAAAAACAGAATTTGATTTTTTGTGGGTTAAGCTGTTGGGGTTCTATGCGCCTCATTTGTCATGTCTCCAAACCCGTTGCTATCAACAAAACAGTAACAATTAAACTGTCGGTGCAAAGCGTTTCAACAAATGTATAACATAAAAATATAGCCTAATACATATATTTTAAATTAAACAAAACTTTAAATTTAGGTAATGAATAATTATCCGGTTTGGTTGTGTATAGTAAATCAAGGAAATGTTGCCCCTTCTAAAATTATACTGCATCCCCCCTAAAAATCCTGTGAGTTCCCAAAATAAATGTGAGAGATATAAAATCAAATTCATACAGTGATTACAGTGATAAAAAATTAACAAACAGATTCAAGTATAATTTGTACTTAAACTAAAAAAAAAAATCATATTTTTTCCTGCTTATGTATGTTTTATTTTTTTAATGGAAAAATTTAATATTAGGTAGGTAGGTACTTTTTTTTTGCCATGATAAAATTAGTTGTTACAACATTAGCTATGTGTATAAAATCCATTAATTTTTAACCATAATTTTTCCATAAATAATAAAAATATAAAAAATATATATAAATAATAATAAATAATATATATATACAAACTTGTATGTACCACAAAATAAACACATAAAAAAATTATATTACTAAAGGTTGAATTTTGTGTTAATTTTACACAATGGCCATTTACCCAGTATTATAAATATATTTAATTTTTTAAGTTACAATTAATTATTTATTACCAAGAAATTACTTATTTATATTTACATGTGTTTTATAGATATGACACAAGATGAAATCCAGAAAAGATACGAGTATTTATTCAAAATAAATGACAAATCACTAGGTGGTTCATTTTACTTGCAGTCAAAAATATACAGGGCTAAAGAACGACTAGAAACAGAAATTTCCAATAAGAGTGAAAAAGCGTAGATAATCTAGAGTAGGTAACTGATATGTTATTTTTATGTGTTAATAAGCATGTACAATATTGTTGTAACAAAATAAAATGATAAAATAATACAATTGTTTTCTAATTTAGATATTTAGTTAATTGTACCAAAATATATAATATTACAGAATATGTGAAGTGTTTTTTATATTATATCTGTGAGTGGGCGTACAAGAACATTTGTTGTTTTATGGAGATATTAATAAGGTTAGGACTAGATTTAGGGTTTATATTGAACTTGACATGTTATTACTAAGCAAAGCATTACAGTATTTTCAATTTTGTATTGAACTCTGGTTATCTAATATTCAATAGGTGTCTCATTCCACCATTGGGTAAATTTTGGAAGGAAGGTAGATTTGTTAAATTTAGCAAAGCACCGAAATCATATGTTGAACGAGACAAACTTCATGATTATATTATTATGATCACAGTTTTTATAAAAATAAATTATATAATCTATGCCTATAGTAATAGTATTATTATTGTGTTCTGCTATATTTTATTAAAAACCGTAAAATAATAATTGACCACATATTAGAATTTGGCAACAAGTAACAAAATGTTTATCAGGTTAAAATAATGTATACAAAATAGCAGTTACTTGTGGGTGACCGTAAAGGCCATTTTAATCTCTTTGAATCAACAGTAAAACAGGAATGAACATGGTAATATTAAATTTGTGATATGTAAGGTCATTGATTTTACATTATTTTTGTTTAAAAATGTTAATACAAATAATATTTATTTTATTTATTTAAAACTACCTCCATTCTAAAAATGTTCCCTTTTGATACTCAGACACACATTAAAAAGTATTTTACCATACCTTTAATATTTAATAAAAACTTATTCCTTGTTTTGTATTAAGCCATTCAAGTACTTTTTGTATAGGTTTTTTTTTTTTAATAAATTAAGAAAAATGTATTTAAATTTTAAATTTAATGTTTATATTATATTTTCATTGTCAAATAAAACCATAGATTATATTATAATTATATTATATTAAGAAACTGACAATAAATTGTATGTGTAATTAATAAATAATAACTAAGGAAAGTATGTGACACCTTTGGGTTATCTAAAATATGTTAAATTCAGATAATCATACTTAAAATTGATTCAAAATTAATCATTTGCGAGTTAAATTGAACCTTAAAAGAATGGTTTCATGTGAGGTATCTCGAGTAACTATAGATTTGGTAGGTATTATATCAAAAGTACACTGGAGTACTGGACTGTTAAAAATACAGTTATTACCCATCTAACATAGCGAGTCTCAATTTTTTTTACCGTGTAATGTCTGTAAGTAACAAATATTTTAGTTTATTCTCTGAAAAATCAAAAATACCTATATTTATGGTGATGCACCTCTGAAACTGAGGTATAATCAAGTATCTAATATGGTTAATTTAATGTTTGTATACAAGTATTTTTAAAAGTAAAATATTAAAAAAAAATTCCAATACATGTTCATACTTGGACAATACATGTTCATACTTGGATTTCATAGAGCCCGTGTAACTATGAGCATTATCTATCATTTTAGCACCCTAGTCCCGCAGGTGAATAGTTCAAAAATAATTTAGTTGTTTTTACAATTTTATTGGTTGTAATTAAAATAGCAACATATTTATACACTAATTGTGTAAATGATTAAAAATTATAATAAAGACATATTTTATTTCATAAAATAGAAATAGTAATCGTTTTTGTTTAATCGATTATCTGTAATTTCTAAATTTTTACAAGAATAAATTATTATAATATTTATATGCTATAGAACTTTTTTGTTTTGTTTTTGGAAGGTTTTTTTTATAAATTTTAGTTGGGAGTCGTTGGACTAGGCAAGGCAATAGTCAAAAATAACATCAATGCTGACAAAATAATGCACGTTCGACCAGAATTGTTTCGGCAAAGATATACTCAGTTTCAACGAACCAAGCCTAAAATATATAAAAATGTCAGAATATCTACAATGAATAAAATATATTTAAATTACTAATGAAAAATATTTAATCTTATAAATATAGATAACTTGAATATTAAGTATAGTTTTACTTATTCTGTAAGATTGTTCATTGGTATTGCAAATAATTATAAATAGTAAATAATAATATATAGGTCCTTACTCCTTAACTTAAAATCATAACTGTTTAAATTGCAATTGGGGGAACATAGATAAAAATGTATTAAATTAGTTGTATAAAATATAAATGTGATAGTGGTAAGTTAATTATGAAATTCAAAATATATGCATAAAATAGTCAATATAGACATTGTTTATTATTAAAATCAAGAACAATATATTTGATCTATCTTTAATCATAAAAAAGTTGGTTTAGAGTACAACAAACACTGCCTATTTTAAATAGATAAAGATTCTATGTAATATTGGATAAGAGTAAAGAAGCAAGATGCCTTCACACTAACGTCAAATAGAACTATTAATTTGTAGCAACACTTAAATAGTAAATATTATGTTTTTTTTTAATGTTATGTAGATGATAATTAGGGTTCGGGACTTGTTGCATTTGCATATGGCTTAATAATGACTGCAGAATAGTCTAAGTAAGATTTAAATTTGTTTTAAGTCATAACGGATTGAAATACAAAAATTTTAATTGCATATTTTTGCATATTTTGCCGTTTTCTGAGCAAAATGCATATTTGACAAATTTTGGCAGTTTAATTGTTATTTACAGCATATTTAAGCAGTTTTTTTTTATGTTAAGTACATTTATTTTAAAGGTTAACTTTATTTTTTTTACTTTCATGCGTTGTTCAATATCTCTGTTCTAATGTCTAATTGCGTACAGTCAAACTTTACAAGTGAACAATTCATCGTTTTTATATTTAATAATAATTTAATATATTAAAGAAAAACCCAACCTTTTTTTCATTGTAGGAGAAGACGAAGAAAATGAAATCGAACATACACTTCAGTAATATAATGTTGATAGTGTTATTGTAGTCAAAAATATGACTAATTACAAAAGAAGGTCTAAATTTAAATGAATAATACAAATTTTTTAATTTAAAAAAAAATATTCAATTGCATATTTGTTCGCATATTTAGGTTATTTTAAGTGCATATGTGCATGCATATTTCCTATAATTTGTGTGCAATAAGTCCCGAACCCTAATGATAATATATAGTAGTAAATATATAATAGATTCAACATTTCAACATATCATGTGTTAGAATTTAGAACTAAAAGTATCTTAAATTTTTCAAACAATAATTATTTTCCATTAAAAGAATTATTCTTTAGTCCATACTTACGATATTAGAAACTTTACGTAGATCAGCGATTACCAACTACTGTGCCTTGAAATTTTTGTCTCACTATGCGTATATTGTGTAAGCATAAAGCGATAAAAGTTTAAATTTTAAAGTTATAGGTTAATATATTATTATTCATGTTTTTGTTTTACATGGTATAACTAGGTATTGTCCTTTCCCTGTTTGTATCGTCGAAAAATAATATGTATTTATTTCTGTGTGCCATGAAAATGTATTAAGAGATCAAATGAGTCGACAAGTAAAATAGCTGGGAAACCCCTAACCTAGATGTTTGATTCCAACCTAAAAAACAACTTTTTATCCTCAATCCAAAAAAATCACATCAGTTGGATTTTTATCTTGAGCTGTTGACGACTGTTTCCAGAATGCTTTATTACTCAGACAAACAAAACCCTCAATTATTACACTTAAAAAGAATTTACCAATCTAGCTGACATTATAAATTGTCTGTTTAGGAGCAGATAAATATAATATATTCAGTAGCATTGCTTTTTGTGAAAAATTCTCTATACTCCACCTATATTTTTTACTTTTATGTTATTTGAATAAACTTGATGAATTACTTTCTATTCAATTTCTTAATGTATCATTAGCCTAATACATTCTTTATATATTCATTCATTTCATGTTTTGAATGTATATCATTAATATTTTAATAGTAGAAGTAGCACTTAGTATTTCACAATAGTATGACACTCATAAAGTTATAAAAAAATAGATAATTATTTAAAATAGTGATGAACTAACCAAGTGCACATAATTACTTAATAACCAGTGTTATTTAAAATGGCAAAAGTTATTTTATTTTTAAATTTAGAAAATTTTGATTTAAATGAGAATTCTAAGCTTATTAGTAATGATTTCAGTCAAAAATAACTGGTAATAAAATATTAAATTTTTAAAGGATATATCAAGGTATACAAATAAAAAGATTTTTAATTCTCCAATAGGTCAGAAATATTGTATTAGAAAATAAAAACATTTACAAAACAGGTTACTTCTTTCCCGCAGCAGCAGCAGCCTTCTCATCTTCTCGTGCGTATGCAGCCAAAAGTTCCTTCCTATTTTGTAAAAATCTTGCTTCTTTACGTTTCCTAGCTTCCTTGACCTTTTGACGTCTAGCTTCAGCTTGATCACTAAACAATTAAATAGTTATGTATGAAATAATTATATATGCGTAACTAATACATAATATTAAAGAGATTATTAGAACTGTTATAATACCTCAACATCTTGGCACGGGCCTTCTCTGCCTTCTTTTTGTGAATGAACTCCATCAATACACGTTTGTTCTTGAAAACATTACCCTTAGCCTTCATGTATAACTGATGGTAAAGATGGTTGTCAATTTTCTTTGCTTCACGGTATTTCTTTAGCAACCGCCTTAATACTCGCATTCTTTTCACCCAAAGGTCCTATGAAAATAAGATTAGTGAATGTTATTTAGAATTCTTAAAAATAAGATATAAATCATACTTTTTGAGGTGTTCGAGCATTAGCAGTACCCTTCCTTTTACCAAAACCACAATGACGACCTTTTCTTCTGGCATCTGCATTTTTACGTGCACGAGCTCTAGAGTGTACAGCTACTGGCTTTTTAATGATCAAACCATCTTTGATCAACTTACGAATATTTTGTCCTGAAATTTATTAAAGAAGCATTGATATACATAT